TCTCTCTCTCTCTCTCTCTCTCTCTCTCTCTCTCTCTCTCTCTCTCTCTCTCTCTCTCTCTCTCTCTATCTCTATCTCTCTCTGGAGACTGATGTAAACGCAAAAGGCATACCTCGTTCTGCCACGGGATGGACACGCTGCCGGTGTTGAATTTGCTATAAAACGTGTCATCGGTTGCATCTAAATTGACACCTTTCACTGTGGAGAACTGCTCGATGTCCAGCACGTCCTTAGCGTACACCGCGTGGGGCTGTAACCAGAATCGATCAACGATAACGACTATTCCATAAAGAACGCCACGACAATGGTCTTTCTCCATACACACGTGTAGTAATTTCAGAATCCCATATGACATTGAATCTTTAAACGCAAGCACGGAGCGTTAGTATACGCTTTGATATTTTACAACTACTACGTGTTAACGACTCCAGCGACGAACGAAGCAAGGGATTGACAAATGTTTGCAAGTGAACGCAAGCCAAGGACTACGAGCCAAAGCTGCAGAACGAATCCGATGGATTTTCCCTAGGACAGTAATAGAAACAGTTACGTGTCGGAACGCGGCTGTGCCTTGTTGTTGTTGTTGTTTTCGCAAACGCAGGAAGACCGTGAGATTAGAAGAAAAAAAAAAAAAAAAAAAAAAGGCAGTAGAAAGTAGAAATCGGCTTGAACGACACCTACTCACATCCGGGACAAACGGCGGTTCCCACATACCGGCCTCGACCCTCTTCCAGTTCAAGCACTGAAAAAAGCTGTGCAACTTTACTTCCTTGGCGCCGTGTCGGCCGCACTTGCAGCCGAGCCTGTTCTTCGGGCTCTTCTTCAACAGCTGCTGACAGAGGCTCTTCGCCTCCTCGGTGAACTTGGTCGAGTACCTTTCCTGATCTTCCTTCACCCTCCTGTCCACCTCCTCACGCTTCACCTTCTCCTTTCGCGCGCGAAACGGGGCCTGGCCCTCGATCATCTCGTACAACAGACACCCGAAGCTGAACCAGTCCGGCGAGAACGTGTACTTCTCGTTGTCGATCACCTCCGGGGCCATGTAACCAACGGTGCCCACTCTCCCCGTGACCATGTCACCCTCCGTGATCTCCACCGCCAGACCAAGGTCGGATATCCTCACGTGGCCGTGATCGTCCAGCAGTATGTTCTCCGGCTTGCAATCTCTGTAAACTATACCCTGCAGGTGCAAGTGCTCCAAGCCGCAGACAACCTCCGCCGCGTAGAACCTGGCGCGATTGATGTCGAAGCCAGGCTCACCGCCCATGTTGTAGATGTGGAACTTCAAGTCTCCACCGTTCATGATCGTCAGGACCAGGCAGAGCGCGTCCTTGGTCTCGTAGGCGTACGCCAGCGAAACGACGAACTTGGAGTTGATCTTTTGGAGTATGTTCTTCTCGATGAGCACCATCGCCTCGCCCTTTCGTTTCTTGATCCGTTTCTTCTCCAGTTTCTTGCACGCGTACATCTTGCCGGTCGCTCGCACCTGGCAGGCGCACACCTCGCCGAATCCACCCTTTCCCAGCACTCTGTACATGCGGAACGTCTTGTACGTGACCGGCTGCGCCTCCAGCCACTTCCATTGAAGGTACCTGCGGTGCAAGAGGGCCATTGTTAGAATCGACGTGGCAGGTTAAGGCTTAAGGGTGTTGTCGCAGGGCAAATATTTGGCGATTAGGGAACTCATAAGAGATAAGAGCGAGTTGGAGCGAAGGATTTGAACGACAGGTTCGTTGGCTCTGTGTAATTGCTTGTGCAAAGTTTGGGATTAGTTGAACGGTTCAATTAAAACTCTTTGTGTCAGAGATATGTATCCTTCGTCACTCTCAGAGTTTGTTGAAACTGGAACTCCTAATAAGTTTACAACCACCTTTTTGACACTTTTATCTGACATAAAAAAGAAAAGAGGAAAAATTACCAAAACTAACAACAGAGGTATGTTCAAACTCTGCTCAATACATATGTATCCTTCGTCACTCTCAGAGTTTGTTGAAACTGGAACTCCTAATAAGTTTACTACCACCTTTTGTCACCAACTCTTTTTGACACTTTTATCTGACATAAAAAGAAAAGAAGAAGAATTACCAGAACTAACAACAGAGGTATGTTCAAACTCTGCTCAATACATATGTATCCTTCGTCACTCTCAGAGTTTGTTGAAACTGGAACTCGTAATAAGTTTACAACCACCTTTTTGACACTTTTATCTGACACATTAAAAGAAAAACAGAAAAATTACCAGAACTAACAACAGAGTATGCTCAATACAGAGTCACCCGTTCAGTCCACTGTTCCATCTCTCTGATCAATTCAAATATTCATCGAATATTTGAAAGACACTTGTACGTTGTCAATTGTATAGAAAAAACAAAAAGATATTATCTCAAATTTTGTTCAGAACCATCCGACCAATTCACTTGCGCGACAAGCAGAGACGAGTGTGATGTCTTGAGGAAGAAATGAGCCAACAGTCAAATCGACTAAGGTTTGAAAAAAGAAACAGCCCTTTTCGAGCGAGTTACCTGTAGAAATAAAAGCTGGTTTGGAAAGCTGAAAAAGGCTCGCCGGCCAGGAAGTTTTTCACGGTCTGCGCGATCTCGACAAAGAGCTCCTTGCCGCCGGTGCCGAGTCTCTCCTCACACTGGGCGATCAAAGAGTCGTTTAGGATGTCGACGACCTCGGAGCCCTCTCTCTTCAGGTATTGCTCGAATAGGTCCTTGGCCAGCTCGGTCCGATTCTCATCCATCTCGATCTCGTACTTCTCGATCGCGTCCAGAAAGAGGTTGTACCGATGGTAGGACGGCTTCTTGTCCTGGCAGAATTGCCTGAACAATAGCCTACCGATCGGCTGTTGATCCACCACATAGCTGTACCTGATGTCTGCAACAATCGAAACAGGCAACAATCGTTCAGTTGCAATTTCATGGTAATTTAATAATATATAACGAAGTAACGGTGAAGTGTATCTTGCGATGTAATAATGATATGATACAGTAATTATATAATAATATAATAATCACATATATCAATAATATAATAATATAATTTCATTGTAATTTAATAATATATAACGAAGTAACGATGAAGTGTATCTTAGAATGTAATAATGATTTGATACAATAATTATATAATAATATAATAATCATATATACCAATAATATGATAGTATGATATAATAATAATTTCATAATATATAATAATTTCATTGTAATTTAATAATATATAACGCAGTAATAATGAAGTGTATTTTATAATATAAAAATAATATAATAGCATAATGTTTCATGTAATTTAATAATATATGACACGATAACGAAGTATATTTTACAATATAGTAATAATATAATACAATAATTATATAATAATATAATAATCGTATATATCAATACAATGATATTATATATATATCAATAATATAATAGTATAATATAATGATATAATAATTTTATTGTAATTTAATAATATATACAAAAAAGAATGTAATTATGCAGAGTTAATTATAATAATTTCATTGTAATTTAATATATATACAAAAAAGAATGTAATTATGCACAGTTAATTATAAGGCCATATTGAACCCTTTGAGAACCAACGGTATCAAAAAACGCAACATTTCATTTGCAATTCTTCTACTCCAACTATTCATTCACTGTGAAATCTGTTCTCGTTCAGAGAGGAGAAAATTATTTGATTGGAAATAATTAATTTGTCAATCGTTAATTTCTTTATGAAATGATACTTACAATCATTTATTATTGTTATTATTATTATTAATACAATTCAACTTAATTAATAATCATCGTTAAATAAATTATTATTAAATAATTATTAAACAAATTATAATTATAAATAGTTATCAAATAAATTATAATTATAAATAATTATCAAATAAATTATAATTATAAATAATTGTCAAATAAATTATAATTATAAATAATTATCAAATAAATTACAATTATAAATAGTTGTCAAATAAATTATAATTATAAATAGTTGTCAAATAAATTATAATTATAAATAGTTGTCAAATAAATTACAATTATAAATAATTGTCAAATAAATTACAATTATAAATAGTTGTCAAATAAATTATAATTATAAATAGTTGTCAAATAAATTACAATTATAAATAGTTGTCAAATAAATTACAATTATAAATAGTTGTGAAATAAATTATAATTATAAATAGTTATCAAATAAATTACAATTATAAATAGTTGTCAAATAAATTGTAATTATAAATAATTTTCAAATAAATTATAATTATAAATAAATGTCAAATAAATTACAATTATAAATAGTTATTAAATAAACTATAATTATAAGTAATTATCAAGTAAATTACAATTATAAATAGTTATTAAATAAACTATAATTATAAGTAATTATCAAATAAATTATAAATAGTTATCAAATACAATTATAAATAGTTATCAAATAAATTATAATTATAAATAATTGTCAAGTAAATTATAATTATAAATAGTTTATCAAATAAATTATAATTACAAATAATTGTCAAGTAAATTACAATTATAAATAGTTATTTATAAATAGTTATCAAATGAATTATAATTATAAATAGTTACCAAATAAATTATAATTTAAATAGTTTATCAAATAAATTATAATTATAAATAATTATACCAAATGAATTATAATTTAAATAATTATTAAATAAATCCACTAACAATCATTTGTAATCTAACGACACTAGTTGACACGACATAAAAATTCAAATGTGAAAGGGCGAATCGATACGCGGCGTCGCGTCGTCGCCAAGTTTCGCGAAACGAGTTGCTCGCGGTCGGAAGGTTGAATCCGTTGGGAGATCTCAGGGCCGAGGCGATAATCGCGAAATCACGTCGAAAATGACCGTGGATTATCACCACGAGCGTTATTTCCGGCGTTGAAGCACGAGGAAGAAGATCGAGGAACATTCCGACTGAACTCGATTAAATCCCCACCTATCCCTGTTTCGCGACGTTTTGCAATAATTAAATTAAGCAATAAAGAAATTAATAGCAAGTGTAATTGACTGATCGACGCCTTTGGGGATCGACATAGACCTTGCGTTAGAGTTTCTATCGATATGTCATTCGCCTAATTAATTAATTTTTCTCGTCGAACAACAATTTGTCACGACGTTTGCACTGCGACGTATGACTGTGACAATTAACTCGCGGAATTTTATTTCGGTAAGTCGATAAATTTAATAATGAAAATGAACGTGTAATGTGTAGCATGGTTAACTATACACATGGTTTTAAATATTGAGATGCATACTGCAGAGAATGCAGCGTAATATTGCTGGAACAATTAATTGGCGTTAGAAATTTGACTGTTGAAAACGTACCCCGACTGAGGACAGAGAGAATTTTCTAAGTGATATATTGGTCTAATTTCCACAAAATTTTTCAAAATTTATCAACCTCAATATCATGTGAAAATGACAAATTCAATATGTAAAATGACCTAAGATAAGTGTGGATAAATTATCGTGCATTATAAAATTATTATTATTATAAAAATATTAAGGTTATAATATTATAAAAATATTAAAATTATAATACTATAAAAATATTAAACTTATAATATTATAAAAATATTAAAGTCGTAATATTATAAAAATATTGAAGTCATAATATTATAAAAATATTAAAGTCATAATATTATAAAAATATTAAAATTATAATATTATAAAAATATTGAAGTCATAATATTATAAAAATATTAAAGTCATAATATTATAAAAATATTAAAGTCATAATATTATAAAAATATTAAAGTCATAATATTATTATTGTCATTATGTCTATTTCACCAGTTTATCTAACATAGATAACATCTACATTGGTACCATACGTAATACCATCATTAGTTAGTTTCGTTTCGATATCTTCGCTCTCCGATTTCCCAAAATTGAAAGAAAAGAAGAGAAAAATGATCTCTAAATGACCGAAACCCCAGCGATTACGTCTGAATCCAACAAAAATCCTCCCCTTCGGTGACGATCCATCCAATTTCAATCGCAAAACACCCCACGAGAACTGGCTGGTTTTGGACGATCAATCAACCGTGGCTCATCAATCAGCCGTAATATCTGAGAGCCTAACTCGGGGATGAATGAGCCTCCGGAGGCGGAAGAGGCGGTCCAACCTCCTCCTGAAAGGAGACACTTTCAGAAGCCTTGGGCTCTCATCACGGCTTAATTAACCGAGACAACGGAGCTCGAACAGCTTCTTATCTTAATACAGCCTTTCTCCACGGGCACGTTCATTTTCTCTCTCTCTCTCTTTCTCTTTTTCTCATTTCTTTCTTTCGCGCTCGCGTGAGATTCAATAATCCGGCACGAGGTCACGCGTTGGAAGGGTCACGCGTTGATTAGCCGCGAGATTCACGGGTGGGAAAGAAAAAACGGCGACTTGTGCAAGACAGCCGCCAGAGTGGATGTCTGTCGCCAGTTTTCCTTTTTTTCTTTTTTTCTTTTTTTTAAAGAGTGGATTTAATAAAATGTCTACAACGGGAATCACTCAACTACTCTGCCGCTCGAAATTAATCCGAATTTCATTTGTTATGACGAAGCAACAGACGTACGATAAAGGAAAATAATCGAAAATTAATTGCTTGACATCTCTGTGCAACTTTCGTTTGAAATCCTTTCAATTTTCTTTCTTTGTATGATCGATATATGATCATTCGATTCGATCATTATTAAATAATTTATATATATATATATATTATATTATTATATTATTAAATAATTTATGTATATATTATATTATTATATTATTAAATAATTTATATATATAATTATTAAATATTATTATTTATACATATTATATTATTACTATATTATTAGATAATTTATTAATTTATCATTAAATAATTTCAGATGGCAAAGTATATACTTGAATAGACAGTCTAATAATTGAAATATCTGTGATACGAAAAATCTTTATTAACAAAAGTTGTTCAGTATAAATTCAGTATAAATTGTTCAGTATAAGTTGTTCTTTATATATATATATATATATATATAAATCTATAAATATCTATAAAAATTTCTAAAAATTTATAAAAATCTATATATATATATATCTATAAATATGTATATAAATCTATGAATATCTATAAATATCTATATAAATCTATAAATATCTATAAAAATCTATAAATGTCTATATAAATCTGTAAAAATTATAAATATCTATATAAATCTGTAAATATTTATAAAAATCTATGAAAATCTATAAAAATCTATAAATATCTATAAAAATTTCTAAAAATCTATAAATATCTATAAAAATCTATAAAAATCTATATAAATCTGTAAATATTTATAAAAATCTATAAAAATCTATGAATATCTATAAAAATCTATATAAATCTATAAATATCTATATAAATCTATAAATAAGCTACTTTCTAATAATAAATCTAACAACGCGACAGATTGTTTTGGCATTTTAGTCGGCACTCGATCACGAGGCGAATCCCGCCATCGAGGACGAGATCGAAATTGGAACGTTCGAGATCGAAAGTTCGTGAACCCGCACGACAAACAGTCGCCGAAGATTTTAATTGGCGCGTCTGCTGCACCAGACTCCCCTACCTCCCCTTTCAATCTATCTATCTATCTATCTCTGTCTCGTTTATCCCTCTTATCGGCGTCATCTTATTATCGTTATCGGTCGGCGGATTAGAATAAGAGGATTAAAGGTTCACCGATCGTTCCGGTTCCACTGTGCGAAAAAGGCGTGGAAAAGAGGGAGAGAGAATATACAATGGAACTTCATTTTCCTCGAACCGATTGGAAATTCTAACACGCGTGCATGAGCGTCGACGCGTATCTAAATAAAATTCTCACTTTTATACGTACGATCTCTTCTCTTGAACAATTTCAAAACAAATTCTACTTTAACGAAACGTTCAAATTTTTTTCAAAACAATATTAAAATGTTTTTCTCGTTTTTTTTTTTTAAATAATTCTTTTCAAACAGCGAGATTTTCTTTCTTCAACGATTTCAAACAGGTGAATTTAATGAAGTCTGTAGTCTATATAAAATTTAGCAAACAATTACCGCGATAATTCGCGGTAAACTGAATTTTTTTTCTCGATCGGTTCGTCATTGTTAAATTCCGTTTCTTTTTAACATCGGAGCTACGAAAGATAATTGCATGTTTAATATTTCTTCATCTTATCTGGATCGTGTCTTTCACTTGCAGTTAGATTCTGTAATTTCAGGAAATTTCCAGAAATTGAAGTATTTATAATATTACGTATTTATAATTAGTTTATAATTATAAATACGTATTAAGTATTTATAATGTAATATATTTGAAGTGATATAATATTAATTGAAGTATTTATAATGTCCGATTCTTAAGACTGTAACGATCGTCTACTTTCCATAGTAATTTTCATCAGGCGCTAAAAAAGAATCCTACGAAAATCTGATTTCTACTTTATACAAAGAAACCATGAATCTAAAAAAAAAAAAAAAAAAATGAAAAGAAGACAAAAGTACCAAACGTGTAAATAAATTGACTACAAACTTATTACAATTCGTCTCTCGATTATTAAAAATTGCACGACTCCGCGCTAGCATCGTCATCGTTATAACATTGACAAATGCAATTTACATAACGAGAGAATTATTGGGGACTGATCGTATCGCTCGTTAATACATAAAGTTTCATTTCAGATGAATAAAATCTAATCCCGACGAATAGTTTTATATATATATAAACGAAGATTCGCCGGATTTACCTTCACTATTAATTAATAAAATCCACGACAACATATATATGTATAAAATTCGATAAGTAGAATTCGAATCGATGGTTTTACTGAACACTATAAATAATGTTCCAGTAAATGGACAAATGGAATTCTACTGTTCGCTGATGTATGAAATTTCATATTCCAACAAGTGAAAATTGAAAGTTTTATTGGAATTCTACTATAATTCGTAATTACCGGAGTTTTATTGGTATTCTACTATAATTCGTAATTACCTACGCGGAGTTTTATTGGAATTCGACTATAATTACCGAGTAATGCAAAATTTAGAATATTCTACTAAATCTGTGCCTTCAGATTCAGATATCCAGATAAGTGTCGCAGAAAAATTTAAGAAAAAAAAAAAAAATTTCTCGAAACATATCCAATTACGCGCACAAGTAATTACTCTAACCACACTGTTTATATCTTTGGCACTGTAAAATTCAATTCTACTGGAGTTCTATTAGTCGCTGACGTCGAAATCACTCTGATCACACGAGACACAGTTCCGCGAAGCGAAACTCCTGATAAATAAAGATTCCACTGAGCTTTTGTTGTTCGTTAATTCATTCGTTTTACGCTCGTACGAATGAATTCAATCGACAGAAATTCATAAATGTTTCTATTTGAAGCTCTTTCTGAAATAATTCTGAGAATTCTAGAGAAGTTTGCTATTTGATATTGATAGAAGAGTGATTTAAAAACTATAAAGAATGTCTCTTGATTATTATTTGCATTATCATATCGTAATATTATATTATACACGTGTATGTTTATAATTGTAATATAATTATTATGTGATATTGTACTGTCACGTGTAATTAATATACTTCGTACACGCTCATAAAATGAAAATGAGTAAATTTCATGTGATAGTAGGTAACAATTATACGAATTAATATTTTTATAACTACAAATAGGGAATTTCTTTACATAAGATTTATTATGGCGTTTATAATGGTGTAAAAAAAGTTATAAATATTGCGTCGAACATTATATCACGAACGTAAGAAAATTGTAAAGTTTTCAATATATTTTTACAGTCTAAAACTTGTGATCAAAGACAATAATTCATCAATTTCTTCAAACGTTGCAAAACCTAAATGTCATATTAATCTTGCACCTTTCACTATAATAATATTTAAATTTCGTGAAATATTTAATATAATAATATAATAAAATTTAATTTTCATTAAATTATTATTAAATTTAATTAAAATTCAAATTTGATTGAATTATTATTCAATTTAATTATCTCAAATTTGAAAAATTATTATCATCAAATTACATTAAATTAAAATCACACCATCCAGGTGGAGAAAAGAAAAGAACTGCAAATGAAACTTGAATGAGCCAGAAAGGAATATTGCACAAACTCATTACACTCTATGATGAAATAAAAATTTCACATTTAACAAGGCTACTCGTGACGAAGACTCACCTAACTTATCTTTTAGGCCGATGCACTGGGAGATGTGTGGAAACTGGAGTATCTTTCGCCATTTTTTACTCTTACCCTTGTTACTGTCACCACCGCCTGCAAAATGACCAAATCAGAGATTAGAAACTGAATTAGAGAACATTTTCATACATTTTATTTTACGTTTTCATTTAACACGTTGTGTTTCATTATTTTATTAACAAACTGCAGATGAATATATTGAAACGCTATTTAATTGATCAACGAGGGTCAACTGTTGCCACACCGGAGGAAAATAAATTGGCGAGGAAACGGTGATTTCCTTGGCTCCGGGCATTTCAATTATGCAACGAATCTCGTCTTGCAACAATCGACGCTAATTAAAACTGCAATAGAGGAGCCCGTTTCTGCGATTTCAACGATGCAGAGAGTTCGTAATTGGAAAGCGGTATATAGCTGATAATTTCAACCGTGGTCAGCAACGTTCCGTTGAAATAAAGAGGCATCTCGTGACCTTGACAGTTTAAGTAATAAAAGTACTAGTAACTTATTTTCTCTTTTTTTTCTTTTTTTTTTTTTCTACATAGGTAAATGGAAAATATGGGAACCTTTTATAGAATTTTGTTCAAATACATAGGAATTATATTTTAATAAATTTCTACATATTTTATTCAAATACGTAGGAATTATATTTTAATAAATTTCTATATATTTTATTCAAATACATAAGAATTATATCTTAATAAATTCCTATACATTTTATTCAAATACATAGGAATTATATCTTAATAAATTTCTATGTATTTTATTCAAATACATAGGAATTATATTTCAATAAATTTCTATATATTTTATTCAAATACATAAGAATTATATCTTAATAAATTCCTACATATTTTATTCAAATACGTAGGAATTATATTTTAATAAATTTCTATATATTTTATTCAAATACATAAGAATTATATC